AAAAGACAGACCTGTGAACCAGAATAGACAGATCAGAAATGGGTGCTGTTCTACAAAGGAACTTAAAAATCAAGCCTAATGAATCGAGCCACAGCCTAAAGAGGTGAATTCAACTTAGAGGACATGGGAGCGAGGGCAGAGGGAGGCAGGGCTGGAGCCCCAGTTTGGAAGAAGAAGGGGGCCTTGCAGGTGCTGAGGCCTGGGGAGGGAGCAGTGAGGAGGATGGACAGGGAAGGCAGTTCAGGTGTGAAGAAGGTGGAGGTGAAGAAAAAGGGTAAAGTTGGCAGAAGGCTGGATGGGGGTGGAGGAATTTGAGAGAAAGCTCAGAAGGAGTGGGGACTGGGGTGAGGCCTAGGGAGCAAGGACCCCAGTGACCTTCAAAGCCTCAGATGGGTGGACATGGTGGCCTCTCAGGGCAGCTGGACTTACCACTGGTGATGATGAGTCTGGTCCCTTCTATGGCCTGCCACTGCTGCACGCCATGGTGTCGTGTGTTCATTTGGATTCGGCAGAAGTAGTTAGACTCGTCCTTGCTTTGCAGGTCTGAGATCCTGAGGGAGCCGTTTGTCTGACCCTTTGTCCAGTTCAGAAAGAGCCGGCCCTTGTAATCTTCATGGGTGAAAGGCGGGGTCATGTTGTAGAAGAACTTTCCGTGGAAGTGCTCCAGTCTCCAGGATATACTCACATCGATTGACTCCCAGGGGTAATAGAAGAAGAAGGGGATGTGGATGGAGCCACCCTTGGGGGCTAAGAGCTGTTTTTGTTGCTTGACCCCATAGGAATTGTTATCTAAAGGAGGGAGGGAGAGACTTTGAAGCCACCATGGGAGACAAACAGAATAATTCCAGATGGTCTGGCACTTTCTCGCACAACCAGTAGAGTGACAGATGGCCCTCTGGCGTGGGTGTCCCCTCTCCAGGCTTGGGGGAGGAGGAGGAGGAGGGATTGAGGTAGACCTACCACTGTAAGTAGTATGAGGCAGCCTGGGATCATCCTTTTGTTGGGCGTGGAGGCCTGGCTGGCTCTCTCAGCAGACCCATCCCCCAGATGCCCAGCCACAGCCTCTCCCATGGGGCTTCTCCCAGTGCCCTGGGCAGAGCCGCTGCCAGGGCTCTCCTGGCCATTCACCTGCCTGTGGAAGTGCTGGCAGTAGCAGCAGCAGCAGCAGCAGCACATCCATCGCCTCGATATCCTCCAGGGAATGATGAGAAGACAAGCAGAAGTGTGGAGGAAAGAGAGGAGCCCTGAAGACGGAATACCTGGGGGGTTCACAGAATTAGGGGTAAAGCCCCCAGGAGAGTGTGGGTGATCAAGGATCAGGCTCCTTCTCACGCCTGGAGGGAACTCTGTTATAAGGAAGTGGGAGAACCTTCCCTAAACCCACCCAGCCCAAGATGACCAGCACTTCCTTCAGCAATCTGGCTTCTTCCTTTTCTATACTGTATTGCAAAAGAGCTTCTCTTGGGACCAATGGCAAGGAATGATATTCATAGGTCCTCCAGCCTCCATCTTCAAGCTGTGGGGAGTGGCCCTAACCTTGACTGGCTGGAGTCTCTGATCGCCCACCTTCATTCTCCTGCCTCTGACGGCTTCCTTAGCATCTCCTTTGGAGTCAGTCTGTCTGTCTCTCTCACAGGAGGAGGCCCAATGCAGGCTGTCTTAGCAAGAGAAAGGCAGCATGAGTCTGTCCAGTGGGTCCCCAATTCTGCCCTTTGAGAAAACAAGGGGGGAAGAAGTTACAATAACTAAAACAGTGTGGTACTGATATGAGAAAAGACAGACCTGTGAACCAGAATAGACAGATCAGAAATGGGTGCTATTCTACAAAGGAACTTAAAAATCAAGCCTAATGAATCAAGCCACAGCCTAAAGAGGTGAATTCAACTTAGAGGACATGGGGGCGAGGGCAGAGGGAGGCAGGGCTGGAGCCCCAGTTTGGAAGAAGAAGGGGGCCTTGCAGGTGCTGAGGCCTGGGGAAGGAGCAGTGAGGAGGATGGACAGGGAAGGCAGTTCAGGTGTGAAGAAGGTGGAGGTGAAGAAAAAGGGTAAAGTTGGCAGAAGGCTGGATGGGGGTGGAGGAATTTGAGAGAAAGCTCAGAAGGAGTGGGGACTGGGGCGAGGCCTGGGGAGCAAGGACCCCAGTGACCTTCAAAGCCTCAGATGGGTGGACATGGTGGCCTCTCAGGGCAGCTGGACTCACCCTCAGCCCCAGCCCTTGCAGCACAAATACCACCCAGCTTGCTCTACCCCCTCTCACTCCCCTACAGGGGCTCTCAGGCAGCCCCCAGGCAGGACTAGAGCTAGGCCTCAACCTCTAGTCTTTCTGAATCCACAGTGCCTCTCACTCCTCTCAGATGCTTCAGCCTGGTGGCACCACAGAACCTCTGGGCCTTATCTTCTGAGGGCAGAAGCTCTTGCGGGTAGGCCTCAGGAGCTTGTATTTTTATAGATTCCTTAGGTGGTTCTGTCCACAGCTGAGTCTGAGCTTTCTGGCTAATCCAAAGCCTTCCTTGGACAGAGGAAGAAATGAAGGCTCAGAGCAGTTAATTACTTACCTGGTGACACAGCTCTGTGGGATGAGGATGGACTAACACATTGTCTCAACTGTGACTGGCTGTGGACAGGGCCGTGATGGTAAGACATGGGGAGTGGGAGCTTTAGTAACCCAAAGGGTTCATCCTGTAAGAGGCTCTGCCCAGCCCCTTCTCTAGGATGAGATTGGCATTGGCTTGTTGAGTGGACTGTGAGGGTGGGGAGAAGGGCATGATTTCATCAGGGGAAGTGGTATCATCTTTCTGGTGGTAGAAGCAAGAACAGAGTTCCCCTCTTCTTTCTTCATTTCTTCCTTATTCTTAATAGTTTCCTTCCACACGCCTCCCCACTGGCAGCCAAGTGGCCCTGCCTCTCTCTGTGTCTGCTTTTCTTATCCCTCCTCACAGGCTCAGGAAATGAGATTCCATGTGTTTATGAAACTCCCTCCTCTGAGTCAGGTCCTAAGCACCAGTTGCCTCAATTTATCTTCACAAGACTGTTGTGAACGTTTTGCTATCTCCATTTTACCTGTGAGGAAACTGAGTCACAGAGGCTTAATGTCCTGGCATCTTCTGGGCTGCGAAACATGTCTGGGCTGAATTGATAACAGCCAGAAAGGTGGGCAAAAGAAAGGACAAGGGCCCACTGGCTGTCTGGGCAGGGCCTTGAGAGGTTGGCCTTCCCTGTCTGAGGAGTGACACTTGGGATCTGTCTCCTTGCCCCACCAAATGTGGGACCAGGATGGAAGGTCATATGCTCACCAGGTCACTCAGGGAGGAGAGGGCTGGACTACACCAAAGAGCATCATGGTCCATTGGGCTGGGCCACACAGAACTTTTACAAAATAGGCTTCAGGTAACTTTTGCAGGGCACATGCTGTCTAGTTGCCTTTAGGCCCCGTTGCACCCACAAGTGGTCTCCCTAGATGACTGTTGAAGATTTTATGTCACTTTCAGGCCCCTGGACCCTATTAAAGCCCCACAAGATGAGGAATTGTGGGGCATGGTTTCAGCTCAGGGACCAGATATGGTCTCCTGGGTTTGTTCATCTTCCCTTTCCCCAACAGAAATGAGAGCCTGCGAATCAGCTTTGAGCTATGATGACCATTCCTCTACTCATAGAGGGGGCTTCTGGGAGGAAGACAACCTGGAGTTCATGATTCAATTGTGACTGGAGCCTAAATACAACTCTTTAGCCCAGCAGGTGGCCATGGAGGAGGGGAGTCACAAGCAATGTGATCAGGAGCAGGGTCACGGTGAGGGTAAGCCATGGATCGCGTTTTTAGAGCTACTGTCTTAGGTCTTCCTCTAAGTTCTCTCAAGCTTCTGCTTCAAGCTTCTGCTTTCCTTTCCTCATTGGTTACACCCATCACTGTCCCAGCCCCTTGCCCCTCCATGGGAACTTACCCTGTTCCTGTCTTCCCTCTAAGGTCAGGAAAAAGGCAAGGATGTCTTCTCTCACTACCATTATTTATTGTACTGGAGATTCTAGCCAGTGCAATAAAGCAAGCAAAAAAAAAAAAAAAAAAAAAAAAGACATCTGTATTGGAAAGGAAGAAGTAGAAACTGTCTTATTTGCAGATAATTTGATAGTGTATGTAGAAATCCAAAAGAATCTACAAAAAATTACTAGAACTAATAAATGAATTAAGCAAGGTTGCAGGATACAAGATCAATATACAAAAATCAATTGTATTTCTATATAATAGCAACAAAGAATTGGAAGTAAAAATGAAAACAATACCATTTACAATAGCTTCAAAAATATGAAATACTTAGGAATAAATTTGACAAAAGATATACAAGATCTGTACACTAAAAACTATAAAACATTGCTGAAAGAAATGAAAGACTAATAAATGGAGAGTTCATAGAAGAGAAGACTCGATATTGTTAAGATGTCAATTCTCCCCAAATTAATCTATAGATTTAACACAATCTCAATAAAAATCTCAGCAGGCTTCTTTGTAGAAATTGACAAGACAATCCTAAAATCCATATCAAATTCAAAGGACCTAGAATATCCAACACCTACTTTTAAAATGAAGAACAAATTTGGAGGACTTATATTGCCTGACTTTAAGACTTATTAAAAAGCTACTGTACTCAAGATAGTATGATATTTGTCTCAAGATAGAAAACGGATCAATGGCACAGAACAGAGAGTATAGAAACAGATCTACACATATATGGTCAATGAATTCTCAACAAAAGTGCAAAAACAATTCAGTGGAGAAAAGATAATATCTTAAATAAATGGTACTGGAACAATCAGACATCCATAGACAAAAAGAACTTTGATCCAAACTTAGCACTATATACAAAATGAATCAAAAATCTATATGTAAACTCTAAAATTATAAAATACTAGGGAAAAAAAATCTCTGTGACCTTGGATTAGATGAAGATTTCTTAGATTCAGTGACAAAAGCATGATTCATAAAAGAAAATATTGATAAATTGGACTTCATCAAAAAGAGCAACTTCTGTTCATTGAAAGATACCATTAAGAAAATGAAATGACAAGCTACAGACCAGGGGAAAATATTTGCAAATCACATAACTGACAAAGGACTTGTATCCAGAATATGTAAAAAATCTAGAAACTTAATAAGAAAATAAAATTTCAATTTAAAAAATGGGTTAAAGATCTGAATCGGTACTTCATCAAAGAAGTTATACAGATAACAAATAAGCACATGCGAAGATGTTTTCCGTCTTTAGTTACTAGTAAAATGCAAATGAAAACCACAATGAGATACCATTGTTGTTGTTAGTTGACCTCAAGTCAACTTTGGCTCATGACCACTCCAGGTACACAACAGAACAAAAGGTTGCCCAGTCCTGCATCATATTCACAATCATTGGTATGCTTGAGTTTATTGTTGTGACCACTAAGGGGCTCATCTTCCAGCACTATATCAGACAATATTCTGATGTGATCCATAGGGTTTTCACTGGCCAATTCGCAGAAGTAGATCACCTGGGCTTTCTTCCTTTAGTCTGGAAGTTCCACTGAAACCTGTCCACCATGGGTGACCCTGCTGTTATTTGAAATATCAGTGGCATAGCTTCCAGCATCACAGCAACATGCAAGCCACCACAGCATGACAAACTGACAGAAGGGTAGTGGTAAGATACCATTACACCCCTATTAAATGGCTATAAAATTAGGAAGATCAACTACACTAATAGTTGGCAATGATGTGGAGCAAATGGAACTTTCATACACTGCTGGTGGGACATAAAATGGTACAACTGCTTTAGCTGTTCTTTAAAAAGTTAAACATACACCTGAAATGAAAATGTATGTCCATACAAAGACTATAAATGAATGTTCAAAGCAGCTTATTTGTAATAGACAAAAACAGGAGGCAACTCAAATGTCCACCAACTGGTGTATGGATAAACAGTTGGAGTTGTGGTGCTAGGGATTGTTTTTATATGGCTTTTCTAGCCATGGTCTTGTAACTCCCACCAAATGATTGGGTGAGACTATGCAGATAATGTGCTTGTGGCCCACGAAGGGGATTGGACAGCTTGCCAATAATACAAATAAAGTGCATGGTACCCTTGTGGGGGTGGGGCCATGCAAATAAGATGTATGGAACCCAAACAAGGGGATTGGTCAGTGTGATGGTTAAGATTGTGTGTCAGCTTGGCTGGACCATGATTCTCAGTGTTTATATGTGATCACTCCCATAATGGAATCTGCTGTGAGTGGCCAACAGTTGAAAGGGAGTTTCCTTGGGGGTGTGGCCTGCATCTGAATGTAAGCAGACGTTCTGGCTTTTTTGCTCACTCTGGATCCTGCAGCTGGCTCCTGTTTGTCTGACCTCTGGTTCTTCGGACTTGAGCTATCAGCTTATCTGCCGATCTTGGGATTTGTCAATCTTCACAGCTTGTGAGCAAGAGCCCTGCTCTCTGACCTGTTGATTGGGTTTGCCAGCCCCTGTGGCTACATGAAATTGAGAGAAGCCTCTATCCTGATACACGGACTTGGAATGTTTCAGCCTCTACAATTGCGTGAGCCGTTTCCTTGATATAAATCTTCCTCTATATATTTATACACTTTACTGGTTTTGCTTCTCTAGAGAACCCAGCCTAAGACAGTCAGTTTTTTCATCCCAGCTAGGCTTAAAATGAGTCATTCCAGAAGTGGAAAGGGAGGACCTCACTACCACCAAGAAGAAGAGCTAAGAGTAGAGTGTATCCTTTGGACCTGAGGTCCCATGCTGAGAACATCCATCCTAGACTCAGGGGACAGACTGAGAGAGCTGTAACACTAGAGACAGCATGAGATGGTGAAAAGTGGTGGTAGAGAAATGGTAGAGGCAGCAGAACCGGGAGACCATCAGGAGATGGTGTCATGGGCTTCCTGGCCCACAGAGCAAGGCAGCTGCAGTGGGTGTGCCAACCCATGGAGCAAGAGAGCTGAGTGCCTTCAAGTCAAAGCTTACTGGTGGAGTAGGGTACCTCCAGGTACTTATTGGCTGAGCTAAAGAGCTTTGTAACACTTCTCAAGCAGGGCAGAGGCCAGCCTAAGAGGCTGAGAGGCTGAGGCCAGAGAGAAGTGTGCCTGCAGGCACAGCTGGGAAGAAGCTCTCCTGATTGAAGAACTGTATCCTAAGTCGTTTATGATCCTGAATTGTAATCTGTTACTTCCTTAATAAACCCCATAATTGTGAGTATTGTCTGTGGGCTCTGTGTAGCCATTGCAATGAATTATTGAATCTAGCAGAGGAGTAGAGCCTGCCATGGAACATATGGCTGGAGTCAGGATTAGTAAAATCATTGTAGAGAGGAGGTATGTCTGACCTCTGCCTCATAGGAATCAGTCTTGGGCTGTTGATTTTCATTCTCCTTCTACCTTGTGAAGTTAGAGGAGGTCTGACACTGCCACCACACCATTTTTACAGTTAGTGTCAGAAGCAGGATTTGTTGCAATGGCTCCAGACTCATGGAAGCATGGGACTTTGTAAGAGAAAGAACAAAGGGGTGTGGGAAGTAAAACTTTGGATTCTTGGATGGTTATTTGTAATAGCTGAAAGGAAATTAAGGGATGTTGTGCTGGAGCAGCAGAAAGAGAAATGGAGGATAGAGAAGCCACTTTTGCCCCAAGCCACATCTAGAGTGGCTTGGGGCAAAAACCAGCCTGGTTAAACAAGATGATTGAGAGGGGGCCATTTTACTTGGTTCCACAATCAACACCCATTGTCTTAGTTACT